AGTGACATATAAATCCGAACACCCAGTTTAAATGGTTTTATTTTAATAAAAGTTGGTGAAAGTATTTATCTTACTGTAAATAACAAGTGAAAAAATTTTCAGCCTTATCAGTTGGACATTCCGGTTTTTATGCTGCTTTTTTTTTAATTCACTAACGCTCTAAAAATGAATATTTCAGCCGCAGTAAAGAATCAACGTTGGCGGATTTTGGTTCTTGACATCCTTTACGATCGGTTACGATGCCTAGAGTACGGAGACCTGTACGATTTCGTCAACTTAGTGAGTTTGATAGGGGCCGTATAGTGGGACTTCGGGAAGCTGGACTTTCTTTTCGGGCAATTGCAGTTAGAGTGTAAAGAAGTGTAGACACTGTGGTTAGGTTTTGTCAGGCATGGCTTCGAGAAGGCCGTACGCAAAGAGCAAGGGGCACTGGACGCCGCCGTAGAACAACAGACCGTGAAGATCGCCGCCTAAGATTATTGGCCTTAAGGGACCGTTTCTCCACTACCAGGTCCATTGCAAATGAATGATTTGCAGAACACGGAAGGCCTATTGGCATGCGAATTTTTACCGACGAATGAGAAGTTTTGGCTTGTTTTCATACCGGCCACACTGGGTCCTCCCTTTAACTCGAGAACACCGATGTAATCGCCTTGAGTGGTGCAGACAACGGTCACTCTGGGATCAGGAATGGAACAGTATTGTCTTTAGTGACGAGTCTCGATTTTGTTAAGGCATGCACGATGGTCGTGCCAGGGTTAGAAGGCGACGTGGTGAAAGGAGGAATCCACAGTTTTTTGTTGAAAGACATGTTCATCACACTGTTGGAGTTATGGTTTGGGGTGCTATAGTTTATGGTTCCAGGTCACCTTTAATCTTCATCAGAGGTAACATCAACGCGCAGCGTTATATCCACGAAGTTCTAGAACCCCATCTTTTACCCTATCTTGACACCCTGGTAGATCCAACTTTCCAACAAGATAATGCCCGACCACATGTTGCAAGAGTCACAATAGACTTCTTTCAACATAATGATGTCACATTGTTACCATGGCCACCAAGATTTCCCGACTTATCCCCAATTGAGCACGTGTGGGATATGATGGGTAGGAGATTGCTCAATTTGCAACGTCCTCCTCAGACTCTAGAAGCACTTCGAGAGGAGTTGTTGGTTGCCTGGAATGAGATACCACAGGAGGACATTGACCACCTGATCAGAAGCATGCCTAGGCGCGTTGGAGAATGCGTAGCACATCAGGGTGCATCCACACATTATTAAAGGTCAAAGGGCTTTAAAGCAGTGCAATCATTTTGAAATTTTTATCATTTACTTATTATGCTTCATTAAGTACTTATACAAAATTTTATTAAGATAAAACCATTTAAACTGGGTGTTCGTATTTATATGTCACTTAGTATATATGTATTTGCTCTTTGGAGCTGAAGGTTCAAGATATTTAGTTTCTCGAATATGTCAACCAAGTATCTCCATTTCATCAGAAATACACCATCTCGAAACATCTCGGCTGCCGGTCGGTTTTCTTCTTCTATAAAAACGGCGAGTTCATATCTTAATTCAAAAACACGTTATAAACATTTTCCACGTGAGAACCGTCTTGCCTCGCAATAGAATAGTAATGCGGAATGTACTGCACCCATATATTTACAAAGTGCAGAAAAGATTCTAGTCTTCAAAGGTCTCATTTTCATGTAATCACCCACTGTTACAACCGTAGTTAGCACAATATTCAGGCCAGGAGACATTTCTTTTGAAGCTTCTCTGTGAATCATGCAATGTGTCCAAATGTACAGTGCCAATTTTTTGGCCAAGTTATCTCCAAACATAGTTTCTACAAATTTAATGGCAGCTGGCAAAATACGCTCTTCTCCAATAGTGTGAGACTTCTTACATATGGCTATTTCATATGAAACTTCATAAGAGTCAAGTAAAACTTTTTCATTCACAATCAAAGTTTTCTTTTAAAATGGTTTTTGCTTTTCGTATGATTCTAATTTTAACTCGAAGAATTCTCGGGATTTAACGTACTCACTACGAAGCGTTTCCAAATGACATTCAAGTTTATTAGGTGTCATGCTATCTGCTGCTGAAGTTTTTGAGCAAATGATACACAGAAGCCTCTATTCTTCATTGACAGTACATGTAAACCCAAATTTTAAGTATTCTTGAGCGCATTCTGGGACGCCCTATATCTAGGCACAGCAATGCCGGCAAATTAAATACAATCCGTTTTTTGTAATGGAGAACCCGCAATGTTCATGCGTAAACGCTTCTTTTGGAGGCGTACTGGCTATTAAAATCATATTAGCTGAATTTCTTTATAGACCGACGAATGAATCACTGATTTATGGGTATCTAATGGTTAATGGATTAATCTACATGGTGTTTATATGTTACAACCTTATTACTGTTATTATCTATCTGAATAAATAACTGCTTATTCTGCGGTTCCACAAAAAAAAAACAATTTTAAGTTGAATTAACCATTTGGCAATTGAGGATTTTTCTTTCACACATGTATAATAGCTATACAGGGTGACTTCGAAGTTGAGTCATTTATTTTAACAGTGAGTAGATCTGATCAGAAGAAATGTTTTTTCCTTTACCATTTTTCTGGTAAAATCAAAGTAACAAAGTTATAGCCCTTTGGAAGTTTGAGTACCGCCCTGTCTCAATAATAATATTATGTGCTCGTGTTTGGCAACAACGGATAAAATCCGCCTTATCGGTTCATCGCATCGGAAACAAAAAAGCGAAAGAATTTGGAACGATGTTTTTACAATTATTTTATTCAGTTGTATACAGTCAGTGTCAGTCGGTAACGCGTGAGTGAATAGTGGTGTCTGTTGCGTGGCTCAAACGAAATAAAAAATGGCACATGTTTATGCGGATCGGTTTCCCAATCGAGTGCAACCAACCCCTCGTGCCTTTGTTAATGTAGTACAACGGGCTCGTGAATCAGGTGACTTAAGACCTCACAGGGGACGGCATGCCGGTGCTTCAAGACCTCACGATCAAATACAGGTCCGCACTGAAATACTTGTCGGGAGGATACTTTATAAAACAAGGTAAATTTTTTTTTTAATTTTTTTTTTATTTTTACACACATATTTTGGTTTATCTTCCTTCTACAATCATTATCTGAAAATTAATGACTCAACTTCAAAGTCACCCTGTATATATCTGCTAGACAAAGACGAAATTGTAGGACGCCTTTATGGCCTCCTTGATTTTCATAGTCTTTTCTCTCTTTCAGAAAGGCGGGAGTGTTTCTAGATTGCTATTGTTCCGTTTCAGCGTCAGCGCTCTCCTATTGTGAGGCTATGTTTTCTTTTTTAATTGTAAGGAATTTCAGGCTGATTTAACAGATAATGTAATGCAAAAGCATAAACAATTTGATGCTAACAGACATTTGAATATAAAGTTCCTTGTTCTTTTTATTTCCAGTGTCAAAAATAGGGGTTTCCACTAAAACAACTGTATTGACCTTCAAATGGGCTTGAAGGTCACGTTCAAGAAGACTCCTAATATCCCCTACAGTCGATACTTGCGACGTGGTCCCCCGATGGACAAGCGTCGTTGTCGGTGGTCGTACGTCACAATCGGCAATCGCTTTCGCACTGCTCTAGGCTGTGTGCATTGAGCATGTGGAAGATCCATATCGTCATTCAAGCGGGATTGCTTATCCCAACGATCTGTTATTTATGGATATGAAGCAGAAAAGTATAACTGCACGGTGCTTGAGAAAAAAGCTTGATCAGTTCAACTAAAGTTTCAATTGGGCCAATTAACAATGTTATAACCTATGAGAGTTAGTTTAGTTAAACTATGATTTTTGAAACGGTTTACTAGAATCTATGAAACCAGTTCAATTAAACCAAGAAGAATTCGTTTAATTAAATTTATTGAAGCGTTTACTCAGGTTGAGTACACCAATTTATTCAAAATTAATGAACTGGTAGAATGAGTTTTTCTGCTCCAAGGAAAACGATCTAGTGTGTGTGTGTCTAGTGTTAATTAATTATTTTATCTATATTGAAGAGGGTATTTGGAATTTAAAAGAACAAAATGCATTTTACTGTTATAATTGCTCTGACAAGTCTTAGATATTAAAAAAAACTTGCAAAACTTGATATTGATGTTTTCGAATCAAAATAAAAACTTCCGAATTTTGTAATCCTAACAAAATTCGATATTTTTATTTTCAATAGTTATGAACTTATTATACTTATACAGAGAGAAAAGTAGAGGATCCAATATGGAACCTTGAGGAACACCGTATTTTATACCAGGCGATTCCGACATTTTTGGAGCTGACAGGACTTTTTTATTTCTATTTTACAAATAATAGCGTATCAAATTGACTGCAGAATCGGTAAAACCATAGTAAGACAGATTAAGTGACAACATTTCAGGATCTATCATATCGAAAGCTTTTGCATAATCTGTTAGAACATTACCTTGATCAAAGCCTCTTATAACATCATCAACGATATTGGCTAGAACCGTTGTTGTGATATGGTTTTCCCTGAGTCCTGACTGCAATTATTTCATTACTGAAAATATACTCAGATATTTGTATCTTTATTTCTCGTTCCAAAAGATTTGAAAATACGGGAGGTAAGCTGACTGGTCTAAGCTGCGAACAATATCGATTAGAAATTTGTTTAAAATATTGAGCATTTCGAGTGAATATTGTTAATTGTTAATCTGGTAATCTGTGGCTAACAAACTTCCAGCGAAGCTCAGCGATGTTAGTTGCATTGTTAGTTTTAAATGTCAACTACGAAAATTATCAGTTGAAAAATGTTTCTACTCTTTGTCTGAATACCTCGTAAAACTTTTTAATATGTATGTACGCCTTAAATTGTTCCTGTTTGTACTTTGTAAATACTTATGTTAGTTAGAACGAGTCTTATGTCATTTTATGATCTACAAGACAATAAGTGTATCTATCTATCTAACTTGTTGAAATGTTTTGTTTCAGGATGATCACTTAATATGAATTTGGATCGAAGCGGCATCGATGGCAGCTTATCTTGCCGGCTGAGGCTCAGTCAGAGCGTAGCCATTATCCTCAGGAAGGAAGGATGTAGGGGGGATCCTGCCGGTGACTTCTGGATGTACGAAAATGGCTATCTGCTCTTTCAGGTATGGTCTGTAGGTATATGGCTCTCCGCTTGAACATTTTAAGTTCCTCGGAACTACCGCAAGGCTCAGTACTTGGACCGCTTCTGTTTCTTTTGTACATAAATTGTTAAGTAGGTGCTGCAATGTTCATATTTTTGTAGGCGATTCATATTTTAGCTTTGATCACAGTAATCCGAATACTACTGTGACAGAAGATTTGAAATCGCTGTTCAACATAAGTTTCAGTTAAATCCATCTAAATCTACAGTATTAGCTTTTTCTCCTAAAGGACTTAAAACTCATATTAAAACTTACTTGAGCATTAAACGGTAGTGTTATTTAATCAGCACAAACATTACGGGTATTTCTTACGAAAACCTCAACTTCATACCCCACGTAAATTATATTCCTTAAAAGATGCTTTGGTGTCCTATGTCAATTATATCTTAACAGGAAAATACTTGATTTCAGTACTAAAAGGAGTCTATGCGAAACTACGATAATGTCAAAAATCATTTATTGCGTATACAGGGTGTCCCAGAGGTCGACGTCAAGCCGAAACCGGGTGATAGGCAAAGTCATAACAGCTATCAGAAAAATATTTAAAAAAATGTTGTGTGTTTTGAAAATTATAGGTCTTTGAAAAAAATATAGAAATTTCACACCCTTCGGCAGTCTGTCAACTCCTGTTACTACAAATATTAACTTTTTTTGGATTTTATTTTTACATTATAATGATGAATAATGCATCTTCAAACTGGGGTTTCAACCTTACTGCCAACTTTTCTCGTTCAGGAAAAATTGCCACTTATTTTCCAACCAAGTATTCCAAAGTAAAACTTTGCTCAACTTTAACCGGCTGTGCTGGAAAAAATGTACTACGAGAGTTTGGCAAGTAACCTTAAAAGTTGGCGCATTTAATAAGGATTCCAAAATGGTATAACACTTAGAAGATTACTCGTTAACTTATGCACAATTTTTATTTGAAGAAAAACTGATGAAAATTTTTCAAAATTTCCTAATTAAACAGTGATTATGAAAACGCACAAGGACCCTTAAGGATAACTGTTTGCACAACAGTGGGCGTCAAAATGCTGCTGATGATGATTTACCTTTACAGCAAATGCTCAAACTGTTTTCCTTCAGCCGCAATACACGCTCGACATCTTCTTAAAAAAGAACGGGTTATTACACGAGCGAATCCACGGTTATTAACAAACTCAGCTGCTTCCAATAGTCTACATTTTGAATCGGTTTGAAATTCACTTTTTCTTTTACAGTCCCCAGTAAAAAAAATCTAACGGATTCAAATCTGGTGACCGGGTTGGCCACGGTATTGTACCAGACCGCCCTATTCATCTGCCTGGAAAGTTTTGATCGAGATACTCTCTCACTGAGAGTGCCTAGTGCGCTGGGTAGCCATCATGCTGAAACCACATGTCCCTGTAAATACTCAGTGGCACGTCTTCCAATAAATTTTCTAAATGATTTTGCAAAAAACCTAAATAAACCTCAGCAGTCAAACTCTCTGGGAACTCAAACGGACCGATTATTTTACCATTTAAAATTCCTGTCCAATGGTTTATCTTGAAGCGATATTGAGATTTATCTTCTCTCATCAAATGTGGGTTTGCTACGTGCCACTCGTGTAAGTTATGCAGGTTCATGTACCCATCTTTCTTAAATGTGGTCTCATCTGACCATAAAATTTTTTCAAAGAACCGTGGATCTTACCTGTGTCTTTCTAACATTGTGCGACAAAAAACAACTCGGTGCTCATAATCCCGGGGCAAACCCACATTTGATGAGAGAAGATAAATCTCAATATCGCTTCAAGATAAACCATTGGACAGGAATTTTAAATGGTAAAATAATCGGTCCGCTTGAGTTCCCAGAGACTTTGACTGCTGAAGTTTATTTGGATTTTCTGAAAAATCATGTACAAAATTTATTGGTGGTCATGCCATTGAGTATTTACAGGGACATGTGGTTTCAGCATGATGGCTGCCCAGCGCACTATGCACTCTCAGTGAGAGAGTATCTCGATCAAAACTTTCCAGGCAGATGGATAAGGCGGTCTGGTACAATACCGTGGCCAGCCCGATCACCTGATTTGAATCCTTTAAATTTTTTTACTGGGGAACTGTAAAAGAAAAAGTGGATTTCAAGCCGATTCAAAATGTAGCTGAGCTACGGCAAAGACTATTGGAAGCAGCTGAGTTTGTTAATAACCGTGGATTCGCTCGTTTAATAACCCGATCTTTTTTAAAAAGATGTCGAGCGTGTATTGCGGCTGAAGGAAAACAGTTTGAGCATTTGCTGTAAAGGTAAATCATCATCAGCAGCATTTTGACGCCCACTGTTGTGCAAACAGTTATCCTTAAGGGTCCTTGTGCGTTTTCATAATCGCTGTTTAATTAGGAAATTTTGAAAAATGTTCATCAGTTTTTTTCAAATAAAAATTGGGCATAAGTTAACGAGTAATCTTCTAAGTGTTATATCATTTTGAAATCGTTATTAAATGCGCCAACTTTTAAGGTTACTTGCCAAACTCTCGTAGTACATTTTTTTTCCAGTACAGCCAATTAAAGTTGAGCAAAGTTTTACTTTGGAATACTTGGTTGGGAAATAAGTGGCAATTTTTCCTGAACGAGAAAAGTTGGCAGTAAGGTTGAGACACCAGTTTGAAGATGCATTATTCATCATTACATTGTAAAAATAAAATCCAAAAAAAGTTAATATTTGTAGTAACAGGAGTTGACAGACTGCCGTAGGGTGTGAAATTTCTATATCTTTTTCAAAGACCTATAATTTTCAAAACACATACATACAATTTTTTTAAATATTTTTCTGATAGCTGTTATGACTTTGCCTATCACCCGGTTTCGGCTTAACGTCGACTTCTGGGACAACCTGTATAAACGGTAATATAAACAAAGGAGTTGCATAGTGTGTATGGACATGGATTATATGGGGTTAAGATGTATATCTTTATGATTAAAACTGTTACTGTAATATCTGCGGATATTTCTTAACACTTATTCATCGTCCATATCTCGAAAACTGCCCATCATCGAATCGAATTTGTACTCATAGGGACTCAACATACTACAAATATAGCCTATAACACTATAACCCCTTTCCCCTATGCTTTGCGAGATCCTAAGACATTGATACAATAAATCCACAACGAAGAATCATGTACTGTGAAGCTAGATTAATTCCAGTAACAACAAAAATTCCACAGGCTTTTGTCTAAAGTGAAGGCGTGTATAAACAAATATCTCTATTTCTACCGCGAGTATAATTAGCGTATTAGGTATGTAGTGACGTCTTTGTATATGGTTGAAGGAACACCCCTGTTATGATATTTCATGTGTTCTGCACTGTGCACTCTTCCACATTTTCCCATGAACAATGGCGGCGTCAGGCGTCGGCTTCACGCCCAAGGGGGACATCGCAAGAAAGTTATAAAAATATCCTATCCCCGAATCGTCAATAATTTCGGTTTAGGTATGCAAACATCGTGGAGATAAACATCGATGTATCCATAAACCCATTTTTTGCTTAGCAACCTCCAAATCAATGTCGTTCATGCCAGTTTTTTGACAGAATTCGCCATAAAACTATTCATTTTCTTTGAAATTGCTATCCGAATTGTTAGTTATTTTTATATCAGCTTTTTTTTGGCCTGAAATTCTTTTCAAGATTCTTGCGTTTCAGTCTTTGTTCCATCTTAGCGATAAGCGAGGTTGGACTAAGCTTAGAACGCAAATGTATTTGGACCACATGGACAGACCTCTTCTTGCAATAATTTATTCGCTTACCCCAATGTATACCAAGTGACATATAAATCCGAACACCCAGTTTAAATGGTTTTATTTTAATAAAAGTTGGTGAATGTATTTATCTTACTGTAAATAACAAGTGAAAAAATTTTCAGCCTTATCAGTTGGACATTCCGGTTTTTATACTGCTTTTTTTTAATTCATTAACGCTCTAAAAATGAATATTTCAGCCGCAGTAAAGAATCAACGTTGGCGGATTTTGGTTCTTGACATCCTTTACGATCGGTTACGATGCCTAGAGTACGGAGACCTGTACGATTTCGTCAACTTAGTGAGTTTGATAGGGGCCGTATAGTGGGACTTCGGGAAGCTGGACTGTCTTTTCGGGCAATTGCAGTTAGAGTGCAAAGAAGTGTAGACTCTGTGGTTAGGTGTTGTCAGGCATGGCTTCGAGAAGGCCGTACGCAAAGAGCAAGCGGCACTGGACGCCGCCGTAGAACAACAAACCGCGAAGATCGCTGCCTAAGATTATTGGCCTTAAGGGACCGTTTCTCCACTACCAGGTCCATTGCAAATGAATGGTTTGCAGAATACGGAAGACCTATTGGCATGCAAAGTGTTTACCGACTGGGTCCTCCCTTTAACTCGAGAACACCGACGTAATCGTCTTGAGTGGTGCAGACAACGGTCATTCTGGGGTCAGGAATGGAACAGTATTGTCTTTAGTGACGAGTCTCGATTTTGTTTAGGCATGCACGATGGTCGTGCCAGGGTTAGAAGGCGACGTGGTGAAAGGAGGAATCCACAGTTTTTTGTTGAAAGACATGTTCATCACACTGTTGGAGTTATGGTTTGGGGTGCTATAGCTTATGGTTCCAGGTCACCTTTAATCTTCATCAGAGATAATATGAACGCGCAGCGTTATATCCACGAAGTTCTAGAACCCCATCTTTTACCCTATCTTGACACCCTGGTAGATCCAACTTTCCAACAAGATAATGCCCGACCACATGTTGCAAGAGTCACAATAGACTTCTTTCAACATAATGATGTCACATTATTACCATGGACACCAAGATCTCCCGACTTATCCCCAATTGAGCACGTGTGGGATATGATGGGTAGGAGATTGCTCAATTTGCAACGTCCTCCTCAGACTCTAGAAGCACTTCGAGAGGAGTTGGTGGTTGCCTGGAATGAGATACCACAGGAGGACATTGACCACCTGATCAG